AACGTAGAGGTAATAGAAAGTGTGTTAAAAAAAACACAATGTCACTGTATTCATGTACCTCAACAACCACATGCGAACAATCAACTCTAAAGTAAAATTACAAAGAAAAAATAAACATGTGCAGGAACACAGTATAAAAAACAACAATAGTGGTGTTCACATTAGAGATCTCGGCACATGCCGAGACTCAGGACCGAACTTGATCTTGATCTCGATAGATGCTCGGGTCAAAACTCAGCATGTTAAATTTGCTGCCTGAATGCTCGTCATGAACAGAAATCACACCCTCGGTGGTAAATTTAAGAGAACATATACTGATTCATACTAGTATGACATGATGATAGTGGAAGTGCTGGTATGGTAATGAAAGAAAAGAATGCAGGCCGCATCAGTGACGCATATTTATTTGCTTCTTGCAACCATTTTTTTCTTGCTATGCTATATCGACATGACAATTTTTTTTTTTCTAATCTCCTCTGCCTTCCATGTGCACGAAGTGACGATGACTCGTAATAAATACCATAACAGCAAATGAATATAATTTCAATATAGCAATTACTATTATCATCATATCAGTATAGTTTTCTATGTTTGGGTCAAATAACAGATCGATGAATGAGGGCGTGATTTTAGCACGAGCTGAGTCGTCCTGATGGGTCCCTACTAACATGAATGTAACTGCTGTAATCCCTCTGCAAACACAAATGGTTAAAAATGTTGGCACGTGTCGAGATTTCATAAAGTGAATGTAGCAAATATTGTATGGTTTGCACAAAACAACATAAGGTTATCATTATCAGTTATTGGTTCTGTTCGTATTTAACTAATTTGAGGTAATACTGTACATACATGTACATGTACGTCAATTTGTTTGCGAGATTGAGTCCAAAGAACTGTTATGCATGTCATTAATTTGAATGTGAATATATGTGCATTCCGCGTTATTAAAATAATTTTTCAAGTCCTGGATGAATATTTTTGTGTTAACACTAATGAATGAATGAATAAATGAACAAATGAAATTGAATAAGAATAAATGAAAGAATGAATAAATCATAAGATGTAATTGGTATCAAATGTTCACTTACCCATAATGCATTAAAATATCCTAAGAGGTTATAGAGGAATAAGGTGACCCCTTCCAAAAAATGAAACACAACATCCATAAAATAACACAGTAAAAAACAGACAGGTAATCCCAACGCGAGTCCCAATAATAGTTTAGTTTTTCTAGCTATGAGCTGTCCAATCGATTCCGTAGCGGTGTTGAGAACGATTATCGGAATCGTAACTGTTCCTACAAGCAGCGGTGTCCCAGATTTTCTCAGACCGCGCAGCCATCTTCGAACAAACGTCGTGAGACTGTATTTGAATGGATAGAGGACTGTTCCACAGAGGGTAGCCCATAGCAGAGGTCGAAGAAAGGCTTCGAGTACAAAATAAACAGAGATCGCAGCAACACACGTGAACACGACGAACAGTAAGGCTGCAACGTTGTAAAAAGCGTGTTTTAGCGCTTTTTCGTGGCCCTGTGGGACAAAACCAAACACATCGGCGATGCCAGACCTCCCCTGTTCACTGCTCGTCGCCATTTTGAAAAAACAATTACATATGACGTCATATTGTACGAAATGGAGGCTATGGGACACCGTTGTGTCGTCACCGGAAGCGCTGTCCCAGCACAAACGGTGTAGAAGACGCCGACCTGCAGCGTCAATGCTGGGACACCACTTGTTTGTCGCTTTTTCAGCGTCACCGGTGTCAGTTCAGGCCCGTAGTTTTTTTTTTTTTTGGGGGGG